AAGTTATAAAATTACAAATATATATTTTCAATTGTTTTGTTCAATTTTAAAAATAATATTTTTTTTATAATATTCCATGGGGGCTCATAATGCACACGGCCCACCATGTGGCATGTGAGTGGGGGCCCACATGTGCCACAAAATGGTAGCACGCCCTACCTCTTTGGATTCTCTTGGTTGCTTTTAAGATAAGGTTAGTTTGATTTGTGGCATGTGGTCAAATCTTAAAAGAGATATATTCACGATGGCTTTATCTATTTTGTAGCAAGTTTGTTTTAAAGAGATATGGCCAATTTGAATTGATATGGATCTTATCTTATTTATATTTGGTAGTATTTATGCATGATATTTATTTTATTTAAATATATTGATGGAAAAATGGTTTAGGAAAGGGATAATGATTCATGCACCTTCCGTTGATGGCTCATCTATGGAATGGATAGCTCAAATCGCTCACCCCACAAGTCATCCTTGATTGACGGTCTATGTTCAATCTCACAAAAAAATACAAACTAAAGAAAACCCTTAGAAACCCTAACCCTTAGAAACCCTAATCTTATTCAAAGCCTATAAAAATAGATTGTCTCTACCAAAAATCTCTGTACCTTATGTCTTGTACCTAATTCCCATTTTTCTCTCTCATATCCCAAAAAAGGGGCACATACTAATCTGTCATGTTTGATTTGATCTCTCTCCCACATTGTGAAAGAACCTAAACTGCACCACTCTATCATGTTTGATCTCTTTGCCACATTGTGAAAGAACCTAAACCGCACCACTATGTCATGTTTGATCTCTCTCTCCCACATTGTGAAATAACTTAAACCACATTGTGAAAGAACCTAAGGGTTTAAGTTACGGAGTTTTTCTCTCATATCTCTCATCTCTCAAATATGGATTTATGGCTAAGGGTTTTAGGGTTTAGCAAAAAGAGAATCCAACTCTCTCAAACTAAGTTACTAAGAGAATTCACCTAAGGTTTGAGTTTGTGATCAAAAGGGGTTTCATGTTCCATTGGTGTGGCTTGACCGAAATTTGCTTTCTCAGTTCGAAATTGAAGCTAGACCGTTGATCCCGCGCCATCGGATGGTGGTGACTCGATGTGGAGTGTAATAAGCCCTCGGTGTGGAGTGTAATAAGCGCGGTTGAGTTAATATCCGGCACTCTTCTTTTTTTTGTTTTTTGTAATATTATCTTTTATTCTCAAATATAGTACATAGTTGTTTCAATGATATCAAGTTGTTAATATTGGTTTTATTGTTATGTTGATTTTATTTTAAAATTTATCTTATTATAATGTATTTCCTGATAAAAGATCACATAGGTCTTTTTTTCAGTGAGCTCCAAGAAAAAGACCATTTGCGAGAGAACCAAACCATCCATGTGGGTTCTGAGGTGAATTTGAATAATAAATCTTCAGGTTCTCCTAGGAACATCATGCCAAACTCACAAAACTGTATTACACGCGAGAAGGAAAAGGGGGCGGTGCATGATACTGGAGATGAATGTGATGCTGCTTCCTCAATATATGGAGTGGAGACCAAGGATTCAGGGCCTGTGGATTTTGAGAATAATAGGTTATTGTGGCTTCCTCCTGAACCAGAGGACAAATAATGGGTTATTGTGGCTTTCAACATGGATTTTGAGAATGATGGGTTATTGTGGCTTCCTCCTAAACCATAGGACGAATAATGGGTTATTGTGGCTTTCAACAAGTATTTGAACAATTCAATTCAATTTCATTTTAATTTTTGAAAAATCGAAAATAGTCAAATCCATCTTTTTTTTTAAAACAAAATTGTTAGTATGATTAAAAAAACAGGTATAAGTATAATAAAAACTTTGAGGTAATTTGATAATAACGGTAAATATAACGGATATATACGTTATTTTCCCTTCAAAAAATAACAATCATGAATCTTTCAATTATCATTTTTCCACTTATGCATTCCCTTTTTTAATTATAAACGTTTTACTGATCCAAAATAAGTGATTACAAAGTGACTTTGATCCTTATAGAAGCCTCACTAATGTGGGTTCCATACTTTTTAAATTTTGGGCCGAGCTACATTTAATTTTTTTTTTTTGTTTTTTGAGTTTTTATGAGAAAAAAAAAAACTTAATGAATACGGCATGTTTGATTTTTTTTATTCATAATTACAAATTTTTGTTGTTTGAATAAAGGGTATGGTTTCTATAAGGTTGCAACCTTAAACAATCCATTTAAGGTGCACCTCCAAATTTGATCATCATATATAATTTTGGTGTAAAAAATTCTTAAGATTATCTTAAAAAACCTTTTCATGTCTAATTATAAAATTTGAAACTCCAAAAATGGATAAAATCAAGTAGATCTATAAACATATGTAAATCTTGAAAATGAACGGTCTAGATAATGTGTTGCAAGATGTATTATTTTTGAGACTCGAAATCTTCTTTTTTTTTCATATTTTACATCCGGATGTCAAGATGATCAATTAGAAGGTTTTTCAACATAAAACAACATTTTCTGATGGATTTTTTAGGTGCATCCTTAATTTTACATTTTAAGGTTAAAACCTTATATAAACTTTTTCCTTGAACAAAAGGTACGGTTCGCATAGGGTGCCATGTTAAATAATCAAAGTAAGGCACATTCCAAATTTTGGCATAATATGTAATTTTCGTATCTAAAATTCTTAGGATGACCTGAGAATTTATTTTTTCATAATTAATTATAAAATTTTGAACTCTAAAAGTGGCTTCAATCAAGTAAATATATAAACGTATGGAAATCTTGAAATAGACGGTCCAAATAATGTATTGGGCGATGTACTATTTTCTAAATTTAAAATCATTTCTTTTCATATCTACAAGTGTCGACAAGAGATGATCAACTTATGAGGAGCACATTAATTCTACGATTTAAGGTGTCAATATTATATAAATTTATTTTTCCCTGTTTAAAATGGGTGTGGGTTGTATAAGGCTGAAGCCCTAAATAATCAAAGTAAGGCACATCTTCAAATATTGTCAAAAGATATTGGTTCAGTACTAGAAATAATTATGATGGCCAGAAAAATTATTTTCATATTTAACCATAAAATTTAAGAAAAAAGTTTATAAAGAGCCGAGGCTCTAAGCAATCAAATTAGATTCCACCTAAAAATTTTATTAGAAGAGGTCGTTTTGATGCCCAAATATCCTCAAATTGATCATCTCGGCATCAAGATGCATGGACATGAGAAAAAAAAAATTTAGATTTCAAGTTTTGGACATAGTGCATCTTGTAATGCATTTTTGGACCATCAATTTTCAAGATTTCATAGATATGCTCAATCTATATTATTTTTGAAGCTTTAAATTTTATAATTAAAGATGAAAATATATTTTAAGGCTATCACAAGGATTTCTAATATTGAAACCACATTTATAGACACTATTTTTAAGGTGTGTTTTACTTTGATTGTTTAAATCCTCGGCTCTATACAAACCGCACCCAAAATTTAAAGCCCCGAAGTAGATCCGATTAAATATATGAATACTTAAAAATCTAAAAAATTGATAATCTAACAAGAGTAATGATCCCCTGAGACCCTCCCATACCTATGTGTGTAGGATTTTAAATGATCACTATTAAATTTGATACAAATCTTTAAAAAAGTTATCACATGAATGTGAGATTTGTGCCAAATTTAATGATAATCATTTCAGATTCACGGATAAAATGCAGGAGGGTCTCCCAAATTCATGTCCCATATACAATATGCACTATTTCAACTCTTAAACATACTTTTTTATAAAGCCGTGCATCTATTTGTGTTGCACTATTTTAACTCTTAAAATCTTTTTTTTTTATATCCGTACATCTATTTGTGTTGCGGCGTGCCTCGTTTAGGGCTCACCCTTGGATAAACTTTTTGCTTTTAAAATGCCTCCCAAATCCCTTTGTGTATTTGCCGCCTCTCTCTCCCTCCCTCCCTCATTTATTTCTCTCTCAAAATATGATGTATTGGCGGTATCGTAGCCTCTCCCTCCTCTTACTTCGTTTTGCCTGTTTCTCTCCATTTGCCGCTTCTCACTCTACTCTTTCTCTAAACTTTCTCACTCTCTCTCCCCAATCTTGCCTCTCTCTCTCTCTACTTGAAGTTTGAGAGGTCTAGGGTTTGGTCCTTTATCTGATAAGGTGGTTTAGTCACAGGTTTGTCTTCACTCTTTTGCTGTTTTACTTCAGTTTTCATTGTTTCTTTCTTCACTGCACATTCATAAATTCACTCAGGAAATATAGAAAACAATCATCTGTATGTATTCTACTGAAATCAAGCGAAAGCACATTTCATACGTGAGTTTGCCTCCATTCTTTGATTTTCTTGATGAATTTAAATTGTTCTCTATGTGATTTTGCCTCCAGTCTATGATTTCTTGATGAATTTGAATTGTTCTCTATGTGATTTTGCCTCCATTCTATTATTTCTTGATGAATTTGAATTGTTCTCTATGTGATTTTGCCTCCATTCCATGATTTCTTGATGAATTTGAATTGTTCTCTGAGTATAACGGAATTACATCGAAGTTCTCCCTCTCTCTCTCTC